TAGCTTCTTGCTCCTAGTAGAAAGGCCAGGAGCCCCTAGTAGCGTCCATGCTCCTAGTAGCGATGCCCTGAGATGCTATGAATACATTAGCACATGACGCACCGATGAGTAGCTTCGCCTGCGCCTATGATTCATATTTCAGTGTCCAAGTTCTACGCAAAGCGCTTTAAAATGCTCAGTGAAAGCTGTGTTGCCTTGGAGCAAGTACTGCAGCACTTTTGTGGGCCCCAAGGACACTCGGAAACCATCGATGGCATCGAAAACAGCCTTAGCCCAGTGGCAAAAACTTGGACCAGCACAGATCAACAGCGCCCAGACTTGCTTTTACATATAGTATGTGAATCAAACACCCAAAATGTATTCACCAATGAAGATTCCAGTTGGATTCACTCCAATCAAACCAAAATGGATTTCTTCTGGATGCTTAAGGCTTCAAGGATCAGGCCATAATCAAGTGAGGCGAGTTTTCAAAGACGTTCGGCCAAACGTAGTTCATGAGGTGCTGCAGCGCATCCTGGCCGTCTGTCCATATGATGCATTTCTGTGTAGGAAAACCCCAACAGTTTCAGGCAAGACATTTATTTCTGCTGGGACCTGCTATGTCAGAACTGCGCCTCGCAACCCAGACCGTGAACGCCTAGAGCAAGGTGCTTGCAAGTCCATGCAGCAGTTTGCCTCACACAAACGACGGAGGGAGACTGGCCAAAAGTTGGTTTGGGGGGTGAGTCCCGGGGGTGAGTGTGCATTTTGCAATCAACTCATTAATCCAGTGATTTACAAACAGTTGGCTATGCTATTGACAGAACCAATATTGTCACACCTCAGAGCAAACTGGCCTATGCACAAGATCCCGATCCATGAGCGCATCCTCCAAGATGGGAGTGACTGCATAAATGTAGTCCTGGCCGATGGTGACCGTGATGTCCAAGCAATTTGGACCCTGGTGGTGGGTTGTCAGGTTGCTTGAAGTCACTGAAGTCCTTGGCCATCTCTCCAATGTACTCGAACATGAAGCTAAGGCTTTTCAACACTCCGTTCCTCGGACAAGGCGTCTTCCGTGAAGTTCGAGCTGGTTCTTTTGCAAGGAAAACATGTGATGAGTGCTCAGACGCTCTACCAAACAAGCCCAAGAAAAGTCCCCAACAGCTCAAGGCCAATTTCACACCCTCCGGAAGGTCCGGAACCTCCTCCGGAACCTCCTCCAGAACCTGCTCCGCAACCTCCTCCGGAACCTTCTCCGGAACCTGCTCCGGAACCTGCTCGGCAACCTGCTCCGGAACCTCCTCCGGAACCTACTCCGGAACCTGCTCCGGAGCCTGCTCCAAATCTGCTCCGAAGCCTTTACTATGGCTGAAGACCCCGAGCTTCGCTGTTGGGGAAGAATGAAAGTGCGTCTTAATTGCAAGACAAATAAACTCCAAGCAGTTGCATGAAGACAAGTTGAGCATACCCATAACAGCCGTCTCATTCTGCCACAGTATGCACCAAATACCCATACATATCCATGCATTCCAAGTGTCTGCACGTTCAGTTCAGGCACCCGATATTCATTCATCAGAGCTGGCCTCAGACATGGCCGGTGTCGGCAGTTGGTCGGTGCAGCCATGGCCTTTCTGCCCTAAGCTTTGGGCAGCACGGTGAACGGTCCACAGGTCTCTGCAGTAATGGCAATTGCCACCTGTCAGCCAGCTGCAATGGTTTGCTGTATTCAGTTCAGCAGTGTGTCACGCTGCCCTTCCAACAGCCAACACCTTGCTTGACCTAAAGTGTTCTCTTCCGGGGCAAGAGGTCTTGGGAGATTTCAGAAAGGAGGCTTCTATTCACCCGGACGACTTCCTCTGAAATCAAGCTCGTCTCGAAATTGCTGAGAGCTGCACCGTGGTGCAAATTCGGAGCTGACGCTCCTGCACCTTGAGGTTGTTCAGCAAAGTGCTGAGAACCTAAGGAGTGGTCAAGAGTGGTGAGGAGTGGTCTGAGTATGTAAATCAAATGAAGCAAATGAGACAAGAATGAGAAACAGATCGACTTCAAGTCTCACAAGCTGGATTTGCTGTTGATGCTTCGATCCTGAGAACGCTGCATCATGGGGGCCAATGGCCTTTGCAATGTAGCCGAAGGTGTTCACCTTAGTATCTCAGAGGAATCAATCAAGGAATATCCTGCACGCCAACTAAATTGTGTTGTTTTCCATGCTGCACAAGCTTCTAATAGAAGGTGTTGACAACAAAAACAACACATGTTTGAATTCCTCAGCTTCCCAGCTGTTGCTCTGCGAATGGCCTTCTTGTGTGCCTACCAGCAAGATCCCGTCAGTGCACAGTGACCATAGCCGCGGGTGTGACCCCCTGAGTGCTATCAGATTCAGACTGATTAGTTCAAAAGCCTCCAAGGCTTAGCCTCTCTACCCGCCTTCAAAAGCTCCAGCAGGTCAAAGCAAATGCGGTTCCACTCTCGTGGTGGTGCCAACTCCGCACCGCGATCGGCAATCCTTGCATGATGTTGCTTGGGCCACTTCAGCACAACAAGTAGTCTTCAATATCACATAGCACAACCGGTATAACTCCGAAATGTAGCCACTCTCCTTCCAACCAAGTCAATGCAGTTCTCCTGCCAGGAGAGATAAACTAATGTCAAAAGAATGCCACCTTTACTCAATAAGACTCCATGATATACATATATATATATATATTGAAGCAAGTGCTGAAAACTGGTCCTGGACTTTCTCATGTCTGTTCTTCAGGATGGGGGTCAACCTGGGAAGGAGATCCTGCAAGCGTGCGGCTGCACAAATCGGCGATGTTATTATCATCTGAATCTTAAGCTTTAAGGAACATCTTGCAAACCAGACAACACCCGTTAGCAGTGGCACATAAGCCTGTCTTTTCGGGTTCTGCGTTGAAGCTTGTTTTTGGTGGACCGTTTTGGTGTTCCAAGAGCTGCCTGTCTTTTGCGCCCAGCGACTGTGCTTGCATTACATAAAGTATCATAAAGTGTTGGTATGCGGTATGCATTTGCGGCACAAATTCGTATGTTCAGGGCTCTTGAAAAGTTCAGAAGAAGACATGATGTTGGTGATGGTGTGGTTTGGATTGGTTTGGTTTGTTTTTTTGGTGTGCATCTCAGTGCATCTCCATCTCTTATGACAGCTACTGCACAAACACCAGATACATAGAGCTAAGGGAGCGGAGATGAGTTGTTGACGAAGTGCCGTATCGCAAGGATCGTGCATGTCTAAAGGGTGTGTGGTGCATGTCCAAGTAGTGGAGGATGAATATATGTTGGGAGGTCCGTGCAAGGGATCCAAAATTTAGTATCTCAGGAAGATTGACAATGATAATGATGTTGTTGCCAGTCATTTCGCTCCATGGATGCTTTACGAAAACAAGTTGTGCGCGCGAAACTCCTAGCAGCTCAAGGCTTCAAGTTTGCTCCGTGCATGCAGCATAGCCGGACCATGACGGACCATTCTTGCAGCACCAGGAGGCACATGTCTTCCGCGATGAGAAAAAGTCTTTAAACGCCACGAGAACATCAAGGATATGCAGATTCATCAAGGTGAGTTGGTGAGAGATTAAGTCCTAAAGCGTGGGCAGCACAAGAAGGTTCTCATCGACCAAAAAGGTGGTGCAAAAGAGGTGGGAGTGGAGGCCTGATTTGGGGGACAGAAAAAGAAACAGAAAACAAAAACCCTTTACAGTAATGAGGTCCTCTTTAAAAGGGCATTTTTGAGGAGGGGTTCTTCCCCTTTTTGGTTTATCTGTTTGTTCTTCCTCCTCTCACGTGTGGAGGCAAACCCCGCATGGCGTGGTTCCTTGATCGAACAAGTGTTGTCTTTCAAACAGCTTCGCAGCTTCGCGTCCGATGCCCTTGCTACTAGTAGCTTCTTGTTACTAGTAGTATCTAGTAGTAATGCCAGGAGCGCCCCTAGTAGCTTCTTGCTCCTTTTGTAGCGATGCCCTTTGTTCCGTTCGTAGCGTCCTTGTTACTAGTAGCGATGCCAGGAGCCCCTAGCAGCGATGAAATCTCCGATCGGAGGCGCCATGTTCCTTGATCGGTGGCGTCATCTTCGTCATTCCAATGACGTTGACGATCGCCTTCAAGGCGCCCAAAATGGAGCCTGCCGTCACCCCGCGCTGTGCATCCCGGGCGCAACGGATCCATTTGGGAATCACTTCGTTTCGAGCAGCCAGGGCTCGAATAGAAGCTTGTCAGAAATCTAAGGTGACCACCCAGCACTTCAGGATACTCTTCACCAAGGTACTCATACAAGAAGAGACCCAAGTGCCTCAGAGACTTTTAAGCATGACAAGAAATCACCCAATTTCGAAGAAGGATGAACATAGCACACCACCAACACCTTTGGTATCGTTTGGTAATCTGAATCAGACTCTTGGCTTCCAGCCCCATCATCTGCTCCTCGCCACATTGCTTCATCACCACAGCGATTCTTGCAATGAGGTCTGCTGCTTGCTGACCTCAAGCTGCTGTACTGAAGCAGTCATGGAAGAGAACGTAATATACATAATATGACAAATCCAAAACAGTTGAACCTTGCGTGCACCTCCACATGGGTGAGTTGGGCTCGAAAATGAAGATCATTGTAAAAACGACAAGTCATGGTGGAAGTTCAAGCATGCACACATCTACAGGACTTCGTTGATGCGCAAACATGGATCTGTATTGCGTGTCTGAGTGCTCAGTGCTATGAATTTGAGACCCTTACGCACACGTGCAGATGGAGTGTTCAGCCGCCACCTGCAGGACATCAACAGGGCTTTCAAAGAGTCTTTTGACGGTGGGGTGTTGACAGTGGGGTGGTCATCTTGTCACCTGATGATACCAGCAATCTGGGGCAGGTAGGGCTTCACACCTGCAGAGGCTGGACTGGCAAATCAAGAAGTGCTGCACGAGAAATTGTTGCACACAAAGTAAGCAAAACGGAAGAACACACACAAACATCCCTCTTTCTTCTCATATTCGCGATTCATTTCGGAGCGACTCTTTGATTGAGGTTGCAACGAGGCCCCAAAGAATTCACCACGGTGCCGAAGCCATTCAGCATCACGGTGGTGTCATCTGATGTCTGCTCCTTTAGGGTGATGTGTTGTCATCTCGATAGGATATACTTATATATCATCTTTTTACACCTTTACGAAACGCCAGCAGTGAACTGGATGCCAACAACTTTGAGAGATGCCAGATGCTCAGAACTGCCTGTGCAAAAGAAGGAACTGAAGGTACACTCCAAGTTGTCCACGTGGAATGCCCCCCAAGAAGACCGGTTTCCCCTAAATAAAAAGCACCATGTTCAAGTTCCTTTTAGTGTGTCAGAGTGGGAAGAACAAACAAAGAGGCACACCCCGCTTCTGATGTTTGCATTGCTTGGAAACAGAGGGTAACATGTTAAAGCCGATCAAGCACCGTCCTACAAAAAAGCGGCATGGTCACTTTTTGTCGTCCGCCTGCGTAACTTTAGTTTCTAGGGGCTGTGCCAGCTCGAGGCTGCGCCCGCAAAAGGGACAAGCTGCAAATCAAAGCTCATCCCATTCAGTAGCTGCAAAATTTGCAGAAATAAGATTAGTTGCGTATGTCGAATTGGGAGTGCGAGATTTTGCTAGCTCGTGCGTCCACTCTGTGAAGCGTTCTTTCATATTTCCCTGGATCAACGCATCTGCTATCTGCTCAGCTGTGAAGTTCATGTGCTTCACAAGCCCCTGCCAAACTGCAAGGACTTCTGTCGCTCTTGCTCTGTACTCACAACCCACGCCAAACAAATGCAAGTCTCCCATTTCCGGGAAAGTGTCCTCAAAAAGGCATTCGTGAAAGCGCTTTGCAATCTGCAACGCTTCCTGCTTCTCGAGTTCTTTTTTTCTCTCTTCTGTCTGCCGGGTCCCCATGTGTCGTTTCGGTGCAGGTTCGGGTGCCTCTTGCAGAAGTCGAAGATGTTCAGGTCTGATAGCCGTGACGCGTTTTCCAGGGAACTGAATACCCACGCGGTCCCTGCTGTACTGAGAAACGGTGCCCTCCAGGCCATTCAGCTCTTCGGTTTTAAGACCCTCTGCAACTACTACACTCTGCTTTGGAAACTGCAAAGACAGAAATCCAAGAGGATGCTCATCAACATGCTCTCGTACGAACCTCTGAAATGCTCGAGGCTCTAGAATTCGATTTGTAACTTCAGTGAAATGGTCCTCCTCCTCTCTGGCCTCTTCCATCCAGTAATCCATGTAATCACAAATCAAGTGAAAGTCAGGCCTGGAAAAGGGGATATGGTCCTTTCTTGCAAGTACCACAGGTGGCGCGGGACCTCGTGTGCCACCATACTGCCACTCTGCTGGAGCTAGGCCATCAGAAGTGTCTGACATAAATCGGACGATTGCATTTGATCGAATGGACGAATCATCGCCTCCAGTTCCAGACTGCACCTTGTAAAGTACGGGGATCCCAATCTTTTCTGGGACTGGAACGGACCTGAAGGTCTCATCAAGCTTCACATCAACATCTGTCACATCTGGCCCATGGACGCGCACGCCGAGCACCATGGTAGTCAGACTCACAGTGTTTGGGCCTTTAACAGCTTCAGCCCGGTCAAAGGCTTGCAGAAGTATTCCTTGATATTCATTTGGATCACGTGGCTAATGGACAATTGTAGCTGCAAGCAGCTTTGCCGCATTGGCCCCTACGGTTGACCCCCCCCCCCGAGGCACAGCGATTGACAAGTTGGAGCTCCTGGAAGGCATAGACAATGCCATCAATGATTTGCTCCTGCGAAGGGAGGGCTGATCGGTTAAAGTATGTTAAAGTAGTTCCAGAAGTTACAAAATTGCACAATGAATTGGAACCGCTGTTCGTTTGGTGAAGAAGACTATCTAGAAATCCCGACACATTCATGAGCTTCCCTGCCTCAAGTCGTGAGTCGATATCCGCGACACCCAAGTTCCCAATAACCTGAAACAGTGGGACTGCAGCGCACTTCAAGAGAAAGGTCACTCCAGCATGCACACGCCTTGTCAATTGTCTCCATGACCATCTTCCGGTATGGTTCTGAGGCATCTTTGAGGTCCTGAAACATCACAGATAGCAACTACTGGTACAGGACTTTTCAATCGTGACTGTGAGAAAATGATCGAGTTTTCCAGGCTGCTTGCCTCCACAATTCTGCCAATAATGTCGGCACCTCCAACCTCTCACAATCGAGAAATTGACAGGAAAGCGTCTTCTTGCGAGGCCAACAAGCTGTGCAAATGATGCAGCACAACTCTGCTCAGCATGAAAAGAACCACCATGCTGAGTGAAATCCTGCACTGATGTGCTGCTCGTCCGAGTCCCAAAAGTCGGCATCCCTTGTTCCACCGACTTTTTGCTCCAGCTCCAGGATTCTTTTTGTTTTACTCCGCGCCAGCTAGGGTTTGAAGCAAAGGTGTCTCCAGGAGTGGCTCTCGCATGGCCTGCAACATGCACAACCGGTGGTGGTCTATCGCATGATGTCACCTCAAACCGATCTGTACCAGGACCTGTCACATGGTTCTGGTGTGCATCGGCTCAGCTTAACTTCGTAAAGGCAAAGCTCTGCACATCATGAGGCCTTCGGATAAGAGGTCTTCAATCCATCAGGACGTCCACTGGCAGTGATTCGAAAGTACACATTGACACGGTCCTTTGCAGTGACGGGTGATTCGCTGGGCATACCAATGACAGTGATTCGCTATAGTCACCGATGAAGAGAGAGATTCGCTCAACAAAGCTCTGGACTGTGTTTGAGTGATTGGGCCCAACTCCATGCACTGTCTGGTGGTGCATCAGGATGGCTTCTCCAGGACTCGCCTCAAATGTTGGTCTTCTTGGAGTGAACGTGACTTCGCACATTTCCTAATATTTACTTTGGAATCGTTGGCCTCAATGTATATAGGTGTCCATTTTCCTGCGTGCCTGCGTGCCTGCGTGCTTGCCTGCGTGGGTGTGCGTGTGTGTGTGTGTGTGTACGCCTTGCACTCAGAGGTTGTCCTCAGTTTTTTTATGTAAAGCATGTGGAGCCAGGGATGCACACTAGACTGGAAAATGCCAGACAGAGTACATGCTTTGTTGTGATGCTCTTGAACTTGCTCAGGCAATTCGTCACCGAGACATCTTCAGGGATCTTCAGGGCATTTGGCGGCATACGTTCTATCTCAAGTGTGTGCTACCTAGCTAGTGCACCGAAAGCAAGATGGGGCGACGGAGGCTCCTCTCTCCCCGCTCCGCTCAGCTCGCTTCGCTTGAAGCTACTGATCTGATTGTGCTGCGCAACACTCTCCGGCGAGACTGTGATCTCAAGCAATCTGAGTCGTACTTGCAACGCTTCAGCTACATATATAGTACACGGAAAACTGTTGCCATGTGCGTGGGTGCGCGCGTGGATGTGGCCAAAGAAATGCAGGGTTTATCCAAGGCTCTCGGACGGCTTCCATCTTCGGATCCTCTTCACCAAGGTAATGCTCAGTAATGTTGGGATGCCTTGCACACCAATATGCGTTTCATTGAGAGATTGACTTGTCGCATGGTAAGCAATGCTGAAATGTGGTTGTAAAGATTCGATGTATACATTCTGAATAGCTCCTACGGAGCCTGTCTGACTGCTGGAAGCCCTGCTGCCTAGCATGGACAAATCGACCCATTCTCTGCTAAAGCCAAGGCTCCAAGGCACCTTCCCTTGAAAGGCTTGAAAGGCCTTGGCCAACTTCTGGTAGGAGCCCGGTGCCAAATACCTTAGTGTCTGATGATGTCTGATGTGCCTCTGTACACTGACGGCTGCTTTTCTCCAATTGAGCTCACGTTTCTATCCAGGCACAAGTTTCCTGCGTCAGATCTCGTTTTGGTTTCACCACTGAGCACCTCAATGGCCAAATGGGTAGACAAATCAATCGTGCTGGGGTCGATGGTTGGATCAGTACTACTCCGAATTCAGACCAGGTGCTACTCCAAACAGTACTGAATAATTGGATGTCGGCTTGCCTGCATCGCATTTGCATCGCGTGTGCATTGCACTTGCATCGCAACAACTCGGGACAGCAACCATCGCACGGTCGTAGCAGCTCGTCCATTGTACCGTCTTGCAGTCTGCCTGGAGGCGTTTGCTTTGCGCTACTTTGGTCAATATGTCCCACACGGGAGCTTGACATCCTGAGAACAGGACGCGAGAATCACTGGTGAAAATCAATCGTTATGTTGAAGAGGGAGAATGCGCAAGCTATGTATATATATATATATACATAGTGAAATCATGTGAAATCAAAGGAAATGATCGCGTTCAATCAAACGCCTCAGACTCATAGCTCTTAATCTTCAAGCAAAGATTCCGGGCAAGATCAGTGTAGCCTTCGAAACCTGGAACAAATGTCCCCTGCTCAGAATCATCAATGAATTAGGCCTCTACAAGGGTATGGAAAAAGGATGAAAAAGGAAACAGAGTGCGAACTCCTAGGAGCAAAGGGCATCGCTACTAGGAGGACGCTACTAGGGGCTCCTGGCCTTACTACTAGGAGCAAGAAGCTACTAGTAACAAGGGCATCGCTACTAGGAGCAAGGACGCTACTAGGAGCTTTTTCGAACGAACCGGACACAAACCGGCCTGGACGTTTCACGGCAACTTGGACCTGGGATGAGTGTCTCCGGGACTCACATCATCTGTCGCACTGGACTCGCACATTTACATGGCAAAGTCCAAGAGCCAAACAAGAAAAACAGCCAGTGTCAAAAAAATGCATTACAGTTCTTTGATCGATCTACTGCATGCTTAGATGTCTTCCTGCCTTCAAACTGTCGGAGGGTTCCAAAATGGCCAGAGCCAGCATGTGTCTGGGTCTCTGTAGCGCCAAGTCACTTGGTTGTGGTGGCCATATGGAGAGTTGTTCGAGCCAGGCAGGACGATACCCTCCAGCAGTTGGTGCAAGAAAGGCAGGTATCTGTTCAGCAGCCTGGCAAGTAGCATGGCTTCTGTGGGCTTCTGCCTTGTACGGGCGCTTACTATTCATGAATCATTACAACTTTGTCCATGCTCATGTGTTCTGTGTTCAGGGCATTGATGATCAGACCTGCGAGATCTATTAGGTGCATTTAGAATGTACATATTGCACACCAAGCCGGGTTGTGTGCTTTTCAGCCGCTCGTGCCAGGAATGCGAGAAGAGTAGCAACTTGTCTGGTGTGCTACTGCCACGCAAGAAGACAAACTCACCCTGGTTGTCACCTGACTGTTGCAAGTCGTTCTCACAGTGGTGTCTCCGCGACCCGTGCCACAAGTCAGGTTTCACAGTCAGCTGCGTTCCAAGTCTCTGCTTCTAGACCCGGAGCGCACACGTTGTGCTGCAGCAAGAGCTAATTGGACCTACAGCAGAGGCAAGCCCTGTGCAATCCTTCACTCCTTTCTTTTCGTCTGTCTGTACACATTCTTCCGTGATAAGAGGGAGTATTGTCACACAATAAACACAAAGGACAAAAGCGCGAGGAGAATGGGGAATCATGTCGGCATGAGGTGAAGGTGTCCCACCATGAAGTTGAAGCTGTAAAAGTTGATTCCTTGGCCTCAAAGCGTTCACGACCAGTCGAGCCGAGCCTCCTTGTCCCTCCACAGAGGTCGAAGGATGCAATACCCATTTTCCAAGTAGGCCTGCAGAAACGTTTCTGGGCCTTGAAAGCAGCTGCGGAAATGTCCCTCACACGGACAGGCCTGCGCATCAAAGCCTACCCTTTTGGCTTCTTTGCGGAAAGATTTCAAATTGCACTCTGCTTTGTAGTGCCTCGAAGAAGTGGTGATCTTGTGTAGCCACAAGGGAGTGTTTGTTTCTGTGTCAGTAGTAATAAAACAAAGATTGCACTAGTTCTATATAGTCATACTTACTCCAAGTCCACTTTGCACTTCGAGCAGGAAGCAACCGAAAGGATGTACAAGAATTATATAGAAATATGGTGTGGTCTCCACTGATGCACCAAATGTAAGCGTTGCTTCGTTTTCCAAGCAACGAGATAGGTTTGCCAAGTGGGCTTCTTGCAGCATGCGCAGTAGTCGTTGGCCCCGCTGATCTCAGCACAAACAAGAATAAACAAAATGGGTATCCTGTATCCTGTTCAAAAAGAATTCGAGTGGGGCTCCAGTGTTGAAAGACTACCAAACAAGCGATTCAGAGCTATAAATCCAGGCAAGGGTGCACTTTGGCTGCAAGCTTGTTAGGCTTCTGAACTTTTCGGCCTGGGAAGAATTCATCGAAGTTGACATGCCTGATGGGTATCTTATACAGATCTGCTGGGACATTACCATATCTTGGAGCATGACCCTGAAGCTTCTGCTTCTTTGGCATGGCAAAAGGAGTTGGGCAGTTTCTTGCCAAATGGTCTGGTTAGAGTTCTATCAGAGCACGACCGATTTGGTTTCGTTACGTTTCGTTTAGGGCGTTCTGAATTCTATTTATCTTTCTGTGTCAGCAGGCAACAAGCATGTTTTGCTCGTGTCGGTAGACATCATCAAGTATTCTCATCGACGGCGAAATCCTCGGACAACTAGTGCAATTGGAGCTGAGCCGATATTTGCAAGCTGCGGAGCATGTGCTCTTTTGTTGTCAAGTTCGAAGAAAGAAGGAAGAAAGGAAGGTCCAAAGCATCATGGCCCTCACCGTCGTTTGGAAACGTTTGGACCATGCGCTCAGGCGTCTTCAAGGAAGCTGTCCCGCCCTGAGGCGGGAGAAGTTCCCCTTTGAGGAATCGAGATCTTATGCATGCTAGTCACTTAGCTTACTATACCTTATCAACCTACCCCCATTTCCAAATAGAAAAGTGAGACGCAAATCGACCTTGTTGGCGATCTCCACCGTGGTGTCGACCAGCTGTCGGTAGTTACGCCGATCCAAGGCCATCCTGACCTGAGACAAAAATGCCGACAGGAAGTGTCAAAGAGAGGTCCGTGTGATCAAAAGAGCCCCCCCAAAAGAACTAATGGCCATGGCCTCCAACCTAATAGCGATGGCCTCCAACCTAAAAGCGATGGCCTCCAACCTGAAAGCGATGGCCTCCAACCTAATAGCGATGGCCTCCAACCTAATCGCGATGGCCTCCAACCTGGTAGCGATGGCTCCAACCCGATCGCGATGGCCTCCAACCTAATCGCGATGGCCTCCAACCTGGTAGCGATGGCCTCCAACCTGGTAGCGACCTCCAACCTAATAGCGATGGCCTCCAACCTGGCGATGACCTCCAACCTAATAGCGATGGCGAAGGCTTCCAACCTAATAACGACGGCCTCCAACCTAATAGCGATGGCCTCCAACCTAATAGCGATGGCGAAGGCTTCCAACCTAATAGCGATGTCCTCCAACCTAGTAGCGATGGCCTCCAACC